GTTTTAAACGCTAATACGACCAGAGGCGCTTGTAAATACGGAACCTCGATAATCGATTGTACGTTTATTGGTTGCAAGCGATAATCCAGATTGCCCTTAATCCGCGTGTTCGGATGTTCGGAAATACGCTCGCGAGAGAAGTCCGATTGTAAGCAATATTTTACTGTAATCGCTATTATCTTCTATCGTTTTCGAACTGGAAACACGAAGGCACTCGCGGCTCAAAAATATGGGAAGACCACGAAACCGTGTTATCTTCCTTCCTCTCCCTCCGATTAATTGTGTCTCTTTGCAAAGAACGAGGGAAATTGAATTTCCATTTAACTGACCGCAAAGGTTTGAAAAAAAACCATACGGCAAAAGGCATCATCATTTCGTATCTCGCGGAAAATTTATTCAACTTATATATATGTCATATTGAGAACGCGAAATTACATTTCTGCCGTTCTAATTTTTCTCCTCTTTCATATCGCGCGCAAACGTATTTAAAATTTTTAACTCTCGAACGCTTTTTATATATAATAGGTATATACTCAAGTACAAGCTTGTGGATCTCGACAAACAAACACATTTGAAGGCAAAGTTATTTTTGAGGAGATCAACAAGATTCTCTTTCTCTCTCTTTTTTTCAAAAACCGTGTGGTTGCTAAAAAGTAAATGCCAAGCGAGCACGAGAAGAACGCGGAACGTAAACAGCACGTTCGTTTGAATTACGCAGCTATCGGTATCGACGTTCAAAAGGTTTATTGCGATGGCTGCGGGATGATTTAAGGAGCAATGCCTCGAATTTGTGCACACCGTCTGAACCGAGTATCTCAAAACATCTTGCACAGCGCGCCGAGAAACGCCGCGAGAACTTTAACGACGCTGAAATTTATCGACGGAAAATATTTATTGCGTCTCTCGCGCGCTGCTTCCGCTCGTCGTAACATCTCTCGCGTTTATCTACCACTTTGCCGTGGTACGAGCGAGCAAGAGACACTCGCAGACGCCGTAGCATCGCGAACGTATGCATGTACAATGACGTATTGTGTGAGGATTAACCGTAAATCACGACGAGCGCGATGACACCAATTATTTATGCGTCGAGTTGCGGAGCGCGCGCGCGATGACTTTCCTCGAAACTCCGCGCGTCATAAGCGTTTAATTTGCATTTAATATCGCGGTTATGGAGTTGTATTTGCGCAGTTGCACTAAACAAGCGCTGCCTGTTCAAAATATTTGCGGTCGCGCGAGCAGTGTACTACCATATTTAGCGACACTGCATAGCGACAGCGATGAGCAAACCGTCGCTGCGCAAATAAATCGCCGCGAAGGAAATTCGTTAGGATATTATTACACGTTCGGTCAGAAATCTCATCAGAGCGGAAGTGCGAGATGAAATCAGAAATGTCCGTTTGCAACTTTTGCCGGATTTCATACTTCTCGGTTCTGATGACATTTGGACGTTGAAACAGCGTGAAAACTCGTGACAAACCAGGTGGTTGTATGTACAAACACGCGCACGGTTTGCATTCGGAATTATATTTAATGTCAACAGATTCTACTGTATGTTTCCAACTCGCGCGCGTATCCAAGTCGAAAATTCGTCGCTCTAGCGTGGTGTGTCTCTTCTCTCCTCCCCGATGGGTCTGACATTTCGTAAACATTCGCGTCGGCGCCAAAATTCACCGATGACTCGGCGGCGCGCATCCCCGAGTCGCGCCCACGCGATTACGGCGCCGTTCACGCGCTAATCGACTACGCAAATACACACAGAGCCCGGCATTCTCGGACATCACACGTCCAAAGCCGACGTAATCCCGTGGCTCTGGTATTTTAATTGACAGATCTGCACTCGAATCCATTTCGTTATCAAATCGAGAACTTTCTTCTCGAGATGAAGTCCGCGTGAATCAGCGCGCCGGCACGCGGACGGTGATGTCAGTGTTTGCTCAGCTGACTGACGAGATCTGTCAGTCGCACCTTTGCCGACGAATATATGTGGAACAATCTTGTCCCGCATTCTTTCGCGCCGCCGGTGTAAAACGATCGATTTTGACGCTCGTCAGAACGACGCCGAGAACGACGCGGCGACGACCGTACCGGTGCATCTTCATCGCACCTGTGGCACATCCACGCATGCACATCATATTGATGTTATCGTGCCGTACTGAAACTGTCTGTGTTACGAAACCGCCAAGATTTATAGCTATCAACTGTACTGACGCTCGTTGTTGGTGGTGGTAGCGCTCGACTTTATACTTGCGATGTCGGTATTCGGCTGCAATATCGTTGCGTGTTTTGAGGAATTTAGGATGCATTTTTATGCATTTTTTTTCTTCAATTTTTTGCGTAAAGAAAAGTAAGAAGACAATTATTTCACTTTGTCAAGTTAAAATTTAATGTCGGCGAACGTTGTATTGTTGTTACAAATATATTGTGCGCAAGTAATGTGAAGTCACAAATTCATTACTGATGGAAGATAGAATTTTAATATGTAATGAAACTTGTTTTTGACTCGAGTTCTCAATCAATTCTGAAATTCTCAAATCTCGGTATCACATCTGAACGCAATTATTGTTTGCGCAATTAAATGTGTGTGACATGTCCTTCCGTGTGTCAGCATCTCGATTTCTGTATGACGACAACGTCGACCAGCCGGGTAAGCCCTGGATTTTAGTGTCGTGCGATTGCGTCTTCGCGATTATCGCTTAAATAAATTCACCGACAGCGCGCGACCTCAACGTAGTGTATTTTTTCTCGACAAAACACGTAATGTGTTCTCTGCGCGTATGTGTAAGTACATATTCAAGCACGCGTGCATCTTCGCTCGTGGAACGTATCGCTTTTGCCACCCCGTGACCGGCGAATTCCACGGCGACTGAATCATCGAAATAAAATATCATTGATCGCTATTCGAACGTCAATCTCCGCGGCTCCATTAGCAAAGAAGAGTCGTACTCTTATTTGAGAGACGTGACGCATCGACGATGAATTGCTTGCGAATCACGTAACCGTTACATGCGCATTCTTTCAGGAATGTCGTTTAAAATCACATTTATAATTGTCAAATGGAAAATCCATAAAAGAGTTATGAAAAAACTTGAAACCTTGAACCTGATTCAGGCTTAAGAAATCTGAGGCACGAAATTTGTTATTAATTATTTTATATATATATATATGAATTATTATATAAAAATATATATATATATATATTACATATATGTTACTATATATACAATATCTCGCTCAACTTTTCTTGTGTACGCCACCGTCATCATACTCGCAAGTTTCGAAGTCGATCGTCGAGTTATTTCTTTCGTGTTCTCGCGTGTCCCTTATATTTTTCTTTCTGACGCGACAACAAAGTATCGAAGTAATAAAGTATCGAGAGACGATCGTCGAGATTAATATCCCACGTTCGTCGCAGCGGCGTTTTCAGTTGCGATCAATTGGCAGCCGGTATTACACGGGCGCGACGGCCACCGGCCGCTATCGCGCTCGGATCGCTTGCGTAACGACGTTAAATCATTGCACACGGCGATCGGGTGTATGCGCACGCACACGTCAGACGAAAAAAATGCGAGGAGGGCGCGAAGGATAAAGCGCGCGCGGAAACGACTCTCGCGTAGAGAAAGAGAGAAACAGAAGAAACGCTGTATTAATTCCAGCCGGCTCGTACTTCGATAAATCTCGATCTCGTTTCTGCGTGCGAGACGGAAATGCAACCCACGTGTGTGTATCTACGTCGCTCGATTTCAACTCGCTTCGATTGCACACACTCGTGGCGATTTAACGCGCGATATATCGTCCATACGTGTTATTTCTGTCACGCGGATATCCGTAAGGTACACACAGCGATGATAAATACGGTACATATGTAAAGCTTCCCGTGTTCACTTATGCTGAAACACGGAATAAAAGAAACATTTCACGCGTACGTCGCGTTTGCGAAGCTCTAGCTCATTCTCTTTCTCTCTCTCTCTCTTTCTCTCTTTTTTCACGGGGAATCAGTTTTAATATTTGCAAAATAAATTCCCGCGTCTACAAACTTCTCTTCGAATGAGGCGATAAGCTCTTAAAAAATATGTATTGGTATATACAGTTTTACTTTACACTGAACACCCGTCCGGCTAAATGTGTGTTTGAATGGGCGATAAATCGATGTCATAGGTTTTAGCCAGCTTTGATACGGCGGCAACTGTGTGAATAATTAGCCTAAACAACCAACGGCCACGCACTTTCGCACACAGCACACAACGGTCCCTTTTAAACGTTAATTTATGAAGTGACTCGGATGAAAGCTGCGCAAACGGTAACGCTACTCTTTTGTGCGAACTGGATACGCTCCGGTAGCTACAAACTGCTCTCTACGTTTTCTTTCGTGTGTGTGTGTGTGTGTGGCTGTTATACGTACAAGCGTATATAATTTCTCATAGATAATGTATCAGTTTTTCATACGCCAATTTTGATACGCTGCAAATGTGTGTTATTTAAAAAAATGCGCAGCGACTACTTCGAAACGCTCCTGTTAAACATATAATTTTCCTCAATATGATTATTTTCGAACCAATTTTAAGGATTTATGTAAGGAGAAATTCAATTTTAATACTTATTACGACGTTTTACCGATGTCGATTTTTTTTTCTCTTGCTTCTTCGATTGGAAGAGAGAATCCTTATATAACGTTCTTCAGCGTCTTGAAAACGCCGCAAGTTCTTCGATCCTCAACAACTTCAGCGCCGGTAATAAATTCATTCCACCGTTACAAAATTATACGAGCGCAATATCGGACGGTTCGATTTTTTTCCTTGGCGCGAAAGTTTATCCCGTCGCCCCGGTCCGCTCACGAATCGGAAGGGCTAACTCGCGAGACGTTTTCGCGCGATCGAGCGCGCGGCACGGTTTAATTAAACAGTCGTCGCGGCGATCCGCACGTCCGCCTTCGCGGAAACTTAGGCAATTGGGGCGAAAAGTGCAAGGACAGTTCGCGTAATGCGATTAATAATTTATTCCAGGCACGTCGTTCGGCGAGTCGACGCGGAGCGACCGGGAGCAGGTGGGCGATGGAAAAGAATCGAAACGGAACGACTGGGGCGACGATGACGAGGGGGCCACGGAGAGCACGCGGATCGCCGGCTGGCCAGGTAAGTGAGAAAACCTGTTGAATTAACGTCAACTCCATTCTGTTTCCCTCACGTCTATTTCTAAATTTCACACATCGGGCATCGATGTGCGAAACAAATAAAAAAATGGAAAAATAATGAAAGAAACGGCGCAATTTGAAGAGAAGCTACTCGGTTTATTAATTACGACAAACGCGCGATGCGTAATGAAACGGCGATTAGCAGCTCGGAAACAGCCGCGTTGATATCGTTCTATTCGGGCTCCGGAATGTAACTCGCGGTGTTTCCACTAATTCCTGCAATTACCGCGTCGACGACCGATTCGTGCGCCGCGGTTCGCGCGCACGTACGTATGTATGTACGATGCTTCCGTCGATTAACGTGCCTGTCGTCCGTAATTGAAATTGATTCGGGATTGAATGTACGAGCGACGAATTTCTCGAGAATAAAACACGAAGTAAACGACGAAAGATCGTCGAGAAAACGTCTCGTTTAAGATTAATCGACATGTAAATGCAAATAATGTTTGACTATCGTGTTTGTGTCGAAAACTTGGAATTTATCAAAGAGAGAGAGAGAGAGAGAGGTTGAGAGATGCAACAGAGTCGGAAGTTCAAAAAGAAGAGGAAAATTAAGCGTTTCAGAACAAGTGCTGCTCGTTGAGAGGGCAAATATTGCTGCGGAAATAATATTGCAGAGATATAATCTCTCGTATCGGAAACGATATTTGTTGTTTGACTTAGCGAACACAAAGTACGAGAGAGAGCTTCGCGAATATGTAATCACGAAGTTTCGCGCCGCGTTTCTGCTGCATCGAAGTCGGCGGCGAAACAGAATATTCTACTTTGTTAATTTAATTAGATGGTTCTGAGAAACCCGAGCGGCGGCGTCGGCGGCGGCGAAGCGCCGGTGAACCGGTACCTTACTCGAAAATTTTCGACGTTATCGGCTAAATTTACGGGCCCGATTCGTAAACTGTACTACGTACACATGCGGCTTTCTTCTCGAAATATAAACGCGAACAATAGTCAAACTTGTTTCAAAGTCGATAAAGAGCGCGTGTATTCATACACAACGTATATAATATAAGAATACCTCTCGTCAAACGGGGAGGAGAGAGAAGATAACTCTCGACGCTATTGGAACACGCATCGATTACTTCGTCATCGGCAGATTTATGCGAGGTATCGTTAGCGTCGGTACCGCGCGAATGTGGGAGAATAAACTCTGGCAAATTTCAAAACTCTGAACTCTGGACGTTGTAACTTGCTTGTCACGTACAACTTTTCACGCGAGCGAAACTCTTTTCCTGCGCGATATATACGTACAAACAACGAGAAAGATAGTTAACGATCTGTGCGCGTAGCGAATTAATCGCACCTTTTTTGTCTGAAGTAACATGATCTCGGTGGGTGATCGGAAATATTCATTAATAAATCAGATCGCGTTACGTTGCAATTAGGACATTACGAGAAACTCAATTCAACAAACGCGAGTGATATTATTATTAATATATATCGTTCTTATTAGTGTATTCATTTGAGGCGCGTATTTACATAATATGCGAGTGTCAAAATGCGATAAATAATTAAATTGCAATTCGTCTAAATGTTTTTGTTTGCGAAAACCGGAATATTCTGAATATTCTGAATATACACAGGAAATACACACGTACACACACGCACACACGTTTTAATCATATCAAGTGTTTAATAATAGCAACAATCGAATGGCTGTGTGCAAAGAGAGTAACGTCATAATTATCGCGCGTATATTCGCGCTTCTTCCAACTTTGTGTGTGTGTGTGTGTAACTTTAGAGCGAGTTAATTTTGTAGCAACGTGTAGCAACTTTCGAAAAATCATTTAATTCGAACGCAGGCGCACACGATGCTTGACTCGACGCCAACACCACAGTTGTGAACTGATAGGTGCTTTATTTTGAGCCGGGATTAGAAATTCTCCTGGAACACAAGTTTCCTCGATGTCGCGTTCTTCGAACGCACATCCAGTTTTGTTTTACGAGCGTGAATTTTCTACGGATGTCACATTAATCCGCGACGTAGACGTCAAATTTGAGTTTACTATAGCGACTAGCGGAAGATCACGCGCGAAAGAGCGCGATATTACCGCAACTACCGTTGCGCGCGGTGAATTGCATGGAGAGATACGAGAGCGAACGAGTTTCGCGATCCCGAACACGTGGACGGAGAAAATATTTCGGCAAAATATATTTTGCCTCCCAAAGAATATTACTCGCGAATTTATCGCGCGCGGGTGGCAAATTTTACGGCACCGTTGCCCCGGAAACGTTTAAACGGGACGTGGGTGTCCCGAGTCCGCCGCGGAAAATATGCTTATCCAATTACTTTATCCGCTTTACCATGCTCTCTCTTTCTCTCTCTTTCTCTCTCTACCTCTCTTTCCGCTTCATCTCGCAGTCAGGGATTTTCCTCGTACGCGCGCGTCAGGTGCGCGCTGCATATTTTTCTGCGTGTTTTCATTTTCGTTTTTCTTTTCTAGTCTTTTTTCCTCAGTCTCTCTTTTTCTCACGCAAGAGAGAGATCACACTTCCCTCTGTGAGATAAGTGCTATTCGACTCCCCCGGAATGCTGATACACTGCGGAATCGCGAAACGTGAGAGGGAGTCGAGCTGCTTTCCCTTTGCACGCTGTTCTCTTTCGGTCGCAGATGGCCGGAACTGTGACCATCGTCTAGCTTAGTCTAGTTGCTACGTGTAGATTCTAGAACTTTCCATGTTTATTTTAAGTGTCATAAAAAACTGACGGTTAGCGATAAAACCGTGACGCACCATCGACCCTTCGAAATACCTTACCATATAAGGCAATCTTTCGACACAAGAAATGATTGTTCTAGCACACAGCCGAATCTAGAACATTCTAGATTATTCTCGAACATTCGAGAATGCTCTAGAATATTACCAAATAAGGAAAACTCCAGAACCTTCCTTGGCCGAACTCAGGCCCTATAAAAGCGCGCCCTCGAACCGAGGCGAGTAGTCAGTCAGTCAGAATCAAGCAGTCAGTTACAGTCAATCATTTATCGTCACGTAGTTATTAGTAGTGAACTGTGTATTGTAATCTTAGTCGCGCAGTTATTTTAAACAATTATTGTAACATCGTCACGAAAACCTGTACGAAATAAAACTGAATAAACAATTTTTATAATAATCAGTGTGACGATTCTTACAGAACTAAACAACGCACAGAAGGGAAATTGCCCTTCTCTTGATTCGCGATTTAGTTGCGCGTTAGTTCTATCCTCCGCACGATAGACTGCGACCTTATCGCCGTGCCGGCTAACAAACATTTCACGCGCGGCTATTTTGTGACGCGCACGTAGTCGAGAGCAGAGGAAGAAGAAGAAGAAAAGGAAAGAAAGATGGGAATAACAGTAAAGATTGTTTGCTAAAACAGTGCCGCGCAAATATTTACCGAAATAAACCATTATTTTTTCCCCTCTTCTCGTTCCTCGTGCCTCGTCCGGCGTTTGACATCATCTCGGCAAATGGATTCCTCGACTGCGTTATGAAAACAGGCGACTATATGGGAGCGGCACACAGAGATAAAAAGACAAACTCGGAAAAGAGAGGAACACGATAACGTTGGCGATACTGTAACGTTTAATGAAGAGACGCCGGTCTCTTCATTAAACGCCGAGTCGCATAACGTTTGATCGTCGCGCTGTTTTTTTTTCCTCATAGGGCACTTTGAAAGTTATTTACGCTCGCGTAAACACGGATATGACGATGTTATTGTTACAGCACAAACTGCGTTTGCTGTTGACACAGAGTTTTACACAAAAATGCCGCGCGTTACGAGGTAAAATGAATCTTGTATTTTTTTGCGTAAATGCATTTCAGCCCGTTGATACAAGCGTAGAGATTGCGTATTAAATTTAACCTGATTCAAGCAGGGAGTATAATCTGAAAGTTGATTGAAGAAGTTTAATCTTCATTTTTCTGTTATTTTATTTCCCACAAACGAGATTGCACTTTTTATTTTTTTATGACGATGACACATCGCGCGCGCGTGTCATAAATGTGTATCTTGAAATTGGTGAGATATTATAACGCGCTTTTTTTTAATCATACGTAGTAGTTTTTTGACGTATAGGAAATGTTGATCTCGTTCCGTCTTATTGCACGAAGCTTTTGAATTTTAAATGCCACGAGCAACATTTCGACGAAAGCAGCGGTCTGACGCAACGATCGTCGCGCTTCTTCATTTTACAAATACTCGGGCCCGATGGATTCCACGAGTGCATTATGAAAATATGCGTTCGGGAAAATAGTTCGGTCAAAGTCACACCGCCGCTCGCGGACTTTGTGCCTCCATTAAGAGGCATACTCACGATAAGACACGTGAATTTATCGTCGGATCGTGATTCACCGGAACGCGACGATAATCAATCGTGAATAAATCCGGGCATTGTCTAGAAATTTCCATTAAAGTGTTACGCAAAAAAAAAGGCGTAATTATTTTGCGATAAAAACATTTCTGTACATGTATACATTATACATATGTGTATTATTCATATGTTGTTTAAACAGAAATGTGAAAAATGTGTTTTAAAATGGATTTAGTAATTTTTGTGTATTCAAAATCGTTTGTACGCATTTGAATCATTTTTTCTTTCGGTCGCATTTATATTTTTTGTTTTCATTGTTTCAGAAGTTCTTATATTAAACAAGATTTTAACGCTAAAATACGAATTTTATATATATATATATAAATATCATATATTTTTTTTTATATATAAATATATACATTACAAGTGTACATTCGTGACACATGCTTTCGAGTCAGCGAAGCGTGCGCACTTTCTCTCTCTTTTTTTTTTTTTTTTTTTTTTATGTTGAAACCGTTTGTGAGGAGCATGTTTGCGCGTCCTTGCTCGTTGCGCATCGATATTTCAATTAAGGACGTTGATACGAATCGACTCGACTGGGTTGTGCGATCGAAAAATTGCTCGGCCGGCTTTCACGCTGGGCAACACCGAT